GATTGTGTCAGAATAGAAATTGTGTACGAAATGGATGGATTGAAGAATGAGCGTGATCATGGTAGCGCGCGCGCTTCTTCAGGCCCAAATGCAAACTCCACACTCGCACACACATATATATAACCGTACGTGTGCTCAATGATAAATGCGTTCCCATGTTCATACATTTTGAGTGTACAAATGAGTGAATTTTCATGTTTGTCTCCGTTATCCATTATTATTATTATAGTATATATATATATTTATTTTTTTCGTTCAGACTCATGCCATTTATCTTCGGCAAACACATTAATTTATTTCGTATTAAATTAGTTAGCGTAATTTGTGTGCACGTATTCATTCGTTCGTTTGGTCGTTTCTCGTATACATTGTGCACAACATGTAGACTCGCCGATGTATTTGCGGTATTTCATATAGATATATATATTTTTGTAGCTGTTTCTGTTGCTTGGTTCTTTTGTATCTCTCTCTCTCCCTTCTGTTAGTTTCCATTACATTTTTTTCACTATATATCTAGTCATAGTTTTGCAACTGAATGAAGCGCAGTCTATTTAAATAGAGACCGATGTCGAAGTACTCACGATGAAAAATTTAGAACAGATATACAAACAACGTACGGCTTGATCGAACGATGCATTGAAACGGTTTTAAACGCATATATTCGGATCACGCTATCATCATTAACCTTATATGCTTTGAACAGCAAATAAAATACAGCGTACGCTCAAATATCTTGAGTAGTTTGTCCGTCAAACACTTACAATTAAAATAAAATAAAAAACTTAAGATTTCTGAACGATTTGCTGAAAACGAGAGAAAAACTATCAATCATATAACACCTGATTGTTCATGTTACATCAATCTTGTTGGACGTATGGCTTTAAAAAAAAATTGCTATGCTTAGTTGTAATTGGTGAAGTTGGTTCAATATTTTTAGAAGTGGTCTTCCACTCTTCCACTTACAACGACTGTATCTGATTTCAACAAATTGAAGAAAAAATTAGAAATTTTAATTTTTCTCATCAAAACTCACTACTACAGACTGCAGACATTTTGAGAAGAATTTTGTATCTTGAATCAGAGCGTTTTAAGAGCGTTTTTTCTTTAAATAATTACCGTTAATAACCCTGTTTGTATGACAAAATGACCGCAAAAGTTAAAATGTAATTATTTTTTGTCGGTGTTATTTTTTATTAATTTTTTTTTTTGTCAAAAAGATTTCTTTCTCTACGAATTGGATACTTTTTTGCTATACTTACTACGTATTTTGTTATACTTATTAGTATTCCATAGGCTCCAATACACTTTTTTTTTGAAATATTGAAGTGAAAACATAGTAAATATAGTAAACACACTCCTGACTATAATGTTTTTTTTAATGTGGAAGTGTATTGCCATTAGGAAAGTCAACGAGTTTTTTTTTAAATTTCATTTCTTTATTATTCTTCAATCCCAATCGATTTGTAATCCATTTAATTTGTTTAAAATGTTTCCATTCGAACTTTGTTTAATCACGTTCATCGGTTGTAGTACTTTAAATGATCGTGCCATAGAATAAATACATATGCATATATTGCACCGCGACTTTTTCTAAAAGGAGATAACTTCGTGTCGAATGAAAGAAGCGAACAGAAAAAAAAAGTATATGGTAGAATGCTTACGGTTAAACATTAAACTCTTTAGGATCAACAATAACAACAAACATGAAGAGCTAAGAAAGAAAGATAATAAAAAGAGAAAGAAAAAAAAACGTTAGAAATCAGTGCGGCAAATGCAGCAAAATAACGGCAATCAGGAACGCAATACACAGGAATATAATAAATGAATAAAAAGAGAAGAGAGTAGAGAAAAAAAGTAGCATATTAAAAAGTACCAAGTCACGACAATCGACAATCGACACAAGAACTTCTTTGGTGTAGGCATTGTAATCAATGTGCCCTTTTCTTGACTTCGATGTCTCCATTGATTTTTTTTAGAATTATATGTGAATGCTTGTAGCATCGTTTGAACGATCAATTGTTTCATTGTCAAGCCGTTGACCTGCATAAAAGAGTTATGGACGCTGAACATGTGTCGAAACATTGAACGATAATATGCAGACAGGTTTCGATTTTGACATGATATCGATTCTCTGTTGAAAATAAAACATTTTTTTTGTCAATTTACTGGCATGAATATTGTTTTTTGTTTGATTTTTTTTTTCGGTCATGCCATGCAAGTGCATAAATACATAAATGTTTAATTAAAATGTCAAAAAAACGTATCTACACCAAATGTGTCACACAGTTATATACTATAGTTTATCTAATACAACAACCAGAATGTAGCAAGAACAAAACCATATTGTGTGTGTGTCTGAACTTTTCATTTGAGAAAAAATATAATTCGCTAAACTTCAAATTTCCCGAAATATAGATTTCGGAATGTGTATATATTTGATGCGATGCATTTTAGGTGTCGTATTCGAGAGAAAAAGATATGACCAGACCAGGGAGTATCTGATGGGTGATTACTTTTTCCCAAAATGCATGTTTCGAAATATACTTCCATTTTTTATGAATTTTGAATACACATATCGATTGAACGTATCAAAAACGTGTGAATGCTTTATGGAAGGGTAACACTTCGAAACACGATTATTTTTTTGTTGTAGAGAACAAAAAAATATATGATTGACTCAAGCAAATTGATCAGAATAAACGAAAAGTGGATGCCTAATGCTGATAAAGTAGCACTTTCATACGTCCACAATTTTTTTTTTTTTTTGTATACATCAACATCAAAGTGTGATAGTCATGCAAAAGCAAAATTATGGCGTAATAAATTTATAGCTTAAAGATTCGAGCCGAGGTACATGTCATCTATCCGTTATACGTGTTTCGTTTTGCTATCGTTTAATAATCATTCGTTCGTTGACTATGTTCTGTTGTTATTGTTGTGCATATGTGATTTTGTGTATATGCGGGGATCGATCCATCGGACAAATCCAACGTCATTTAAGCGCAAAAACCTCATGCTGACATTGTTTTATTTTTTTCTCGTTCAAGTATGTATGGGTGCCGCGTTTATTTCGTAAAACAATCGATTGTCGCGAACGTTTCCTTATTTTTTTCTTCTTCTTCTTTGTCTCTGTTTTTGATAAGTTCAGTCAAATGATGCGTCTTTTGGCCCTTTCTACTTAATACAGTGCTAGAGTCGAATTGTACGGTATCGTTTGCTATACACTCATGTATTTCTAATTGACTCGAATCAAATGCAAAATTGCAACCAAAAAAAAAGACGAACGCCCTTTGATAGTCTCCATTTATCTTGAAAAAGTATTCGTACACTGTGTGTATGTATGTAAGTGCATTAGTGAGTGGTTCATTATTTATATCAGACAATAAATTTAAACTACAGATAGTACGTGTGAGTTTGGCTGTTTCTTTTTCTCTCTATCGTTGCTGTTGCTGCTTTTTATTTGTCTTCTACATTTGTTTCACAATAATCGAATTAAACAAAGCAATAACTATCAGAAACTAAACTGAATTCGACGCATTGATGAAACGAGAACAGAAAAATCAATATAGTTAGATCGGGAGACGAAGTGAATGAAAATAATGTGAGCCTTTCATAATGTACCACTCACTTGGAAAAAAACACAATTCTTTAGTGAAAAAAAAAAAAGAAATGAAAAGAAACTTAGATGTATTAAAAAACAGACAGAAACAATTCTAACTGAAGTGAACGTGAGCGATTGGGTAAACAGACTTGTACACGGGTCAGGAGATGTGAGCAACGGGGCATAAGCAAGTTAAAGATGCCGAGAAAAAGATTGAAGAACTTAAGGCACACAGATAAAAAGCAATTAGCGATTTTACAAAACTCGAAAAGAAAATCCAAACGAAGGCCTTTGTTTCCGAAAAGGAGATGGCCGAAGAATGATGGTATATAATGGTGTATAAGAGGCACAAGGCACACCAACAGTGACTGATGCAAGAGTGAATGGCAAAATAAGACAACGAACCTAATCTCTCGGTGAAACAATGAAACGTAGCTGATTTTCTGTTTAAATAGTCAATTTTTTTTTATTGTTGTTGCCATTCGTCGTCATAGTCATCATTGGCGTTGTTGTTATTTTAGCCGTTCAACTTTTTTTCCAATATGCATCGAACAAGTGAGCGCATTGCATCTTTTGCCTTATTTGTTGCCGTTTGCATTACACATACACACGAATTACTTGTTGTTAATTCATTTTCTATTTATTTCTTTTTCCTTGTTGCACGATGCGCTTTTATTTCGTTAGTCCGTTTTGTTGAACATCAGTTTTTTTTCGTTTTGCTAACGGATTACCAGTACATGTGTGTATTGGGACTGTAGAGATGCGCGAAAGGCAGAAACAATGATTCACGATTCCAGATAAAAAATTTGTTCTTGTCAGTATATGCACCATTTAAAGAAAAACATGAAAGTTACGATTTGTGCATTTTATTTTCTATTGCCTTTTTTAATGCTCCCATGAATTTTATTTTATTCCCTTTGTATCCTGATTTTCGCCTTGAACCTTCACGCATCGAAACTTTTTGGTTATTTAATACGAAGTTATTTCAAAGAAAGAGATAGAGAGAGAGAGAGAGAGAGAGAGAGAGAGAGAGAGAGAGTTTTCCGTTTTCCATTGTCGTTTTTATCATCCGTTCGTATATCAATTTCATGCATAGTTAAATTGTCCATCAGATTTAAACGGAAACAGTCATTACTTTCATTCTATCATTTTCTTTCTGTCATCAATAATATAAACAGTGTATATTAAACACTGAAATATTGGCTGCGTACTCATAAGTTTTCAACAATTAATTTTTTTCAAAAATAATGTTTTGAATTATTTAGATTGTTAATATTGAATAACAATCGTTGAATTTTATATTTATATAAATTATTAATCGATATTTGAATAGAGACACACATAGTGATCAATATTATATTTCACTCTAATTAATTTCTTTCTTCTTCTTTTTTTTCAGGATTGAAGCGAAAACAATTAATTCAACAACCGGAGGAGCTTAAAGTAGAAGGATAGATATATATGATTGAGTTTGTTGTTGATCATCTCAATACTCGTCGTGTGTGCTATTCAAAGAGATTGTATGTATGCATGAGTGTGAATGTGTTAGGTGCGTGTAAGTCTGTATGAAAGCGAGACTGTATACACGGCTTGTGAGTGTTTGAGTAGTGTATTGATAGAATTGGTGGAGTTGTTGCATTTTTTTCCATTTCTTCTTCGAGTAACGGAAAAAAGTAAAAAAAAGCCAAAACAAAAATAATATAAAGTGCTTCATCATAAATCTCAAGTGCTTGTCGTCTGCGAAGCAGTCAGTCCCCCCAAAGTAAACGAGCGATTTAAAAATGGTTTCAACACGGCAAATGTCTATAACTACCATCGGTCCTGAAACAGGTAACGAATTTCAATCTTATTTACACTGCAAATAGAAAAAAAACCGAATATTAGTAATATGATAACTATATAGCAATTTAGTACGAAAATTCTATTCTCTAGAACTGTGTGGCACTTACAAAGTAGCACTTCCAGATCCTCAAGTCGTAGCTTCCGCTCTGAAGAGTTTGACCTTGGACAGAATCATTCCGCATAAAAAACACAATAGAATCACATCACTTTCAAACTAAATCATTTCCACAAACCTGAGCCGGTAAATCAATTTGATTTTCGTGAAGATACCCAGCTCATGACATCACACCAGCCTATCTCGATATACTTTAGCAACGATTGAAAAGCATAATTGTATTGACAGTATGCTTCAATCGCTTCATTGAAATGCATCAATCAGCATACGCAACAAAGTCTTTGGATGCAGGCACATTTTTTCATCGAACACTTTTCTCATATTTTCCATTTTCTTCTGGCGTTTGTAGCAACCGGTTTCATGGTGGAATTTTGTCGATTTGAGTCGGTGGTTAGTTTCCGAATCAGCCGACCGATCAAATCGAATGCCGCCAAGTGACAGTTTCAGTGACCAAAATCGAACGCATACTCTTGATGTTAACAATTGTGCAGCACGGATTTGCGTTCCTCCTCACTTTTGTGCACAATCGTTTTGGTTCGCTCCATTAAATGACACCATTCGAGACACCATCGGTTCGAATGAAATTATCAAACTTTATGACAGCAGCACCTGGTCTTTATGGTTTCTTTCGCTCGAATGATCGTTTCTCGTCAGCATCAAATTCAACGTATTCCCTTCATAAATTTCTTGAACACTTTGATCCGTTTGCCGTTTTCGTCCTTTCTCTTCTCATTCTACTGCAACCGCTCTGGATCAATCTTCTTCACCATTTCAAATAGTTCACAATCGTCAATACAGATATGATGACGGTGAAATCTGTTATCGATCGAGGTGCATTTTATGTCGTCTCTTGATCTTCCGTTTACGCTTGATGACACGGTTTCGACTGTTATTTTTGCGTGGTTTTGGTTCTTGTTTTGGTTGCTGTTTTGACATTTCTTTCACCTCTTTTAGTTTCTTTGGCTCAAATTGACTGTTTTGTTCACGAATGTAACTGTGTTCGAATGGAAAAAAGAAAACATTATGGAAAAAACGTTGAAAATTACCATAAAAAAGAATCGTGAACGAACCTTTGTAGTCGAATGAACAAAGGTACAAATCGATGCCAAGTGAATATCATTTTGTAAAAGTACGCTTTCCCGTTGTTTATCCAATCGATTGGATGTAGATTTGAAACAATTGCGTCTAACCGATCTTGATCCGGTGTGCATGAAGAATCTTCTTTGAACAAATACTCCAGAGTATTGTGAACCTTGTTTCCATCGGAATTTATATGCAACAGGAATCGCTTCATGCGTCTGTATCCATGCATGCATATTTTTTTTGCTCATTGATGGTGCGTGTACTTGATATTTCTAGCACAGTGTTCTTATTGCTGAAAACAAGTTGTAGCCATTTGCATTTGATGCAGCAATTGAGTCACGATCCATGCTCCGAAAATAATCAATAAAGAATTTTTTATCGACTTTTTGTCGGAAAAAACGATTGATTTTGTCGTCGTTGCAATTTTGAACTAGTAATTGGAAAAATAATGTTTATTTAATCTGCCCAACTTCAAACAAAAACTTTGACATTTTTCGTAATTAATTCTTGAAATGCAAGCGATTTTACAGCTCGTAGACTACTTTTGATCGTCGGTATTTCGACAACTTTTTGCTTTTCTATTTTCTATCTGTGCTTGCTGCGGCAATTGTGGGAGCCTCTTTTTATTATGGTGACCGATGAAAATCAACTGTGAAGTCTTTCGATCTACTCCGATACTTACAGGCAAATTAAATAATAAATCCATTTCTTCAACTTATTTGGAAAGCAGTGTCGATGTGCAGAAAATTCGATTTCCAGCATACAATTGACTGCTTGTACTCAAATTTGGCAAGCAACCAAAAATATGCTGGCCAACTGCATTTCATGTGTGCGGAGAAATATCATAATGACAGTACAAACCACAAAATATTTTCAAACTTTGAATTCAATGCACAGATATTCTATATAAACAGAGATTTTTAATGTGACACTACATTCTGTTCTTTCCAAATTTTATCATCAATTTAAATCAATTGTTTGCTGGTGGTGAACACTTCAAAAACCACAAACCACACACAACTTTTGTCAATTTTCTTTTGCCTTTGAATATACACTGATATTTTACAAAAATGTGAAGCAATTATTTTAAGAAAAAAACAACAAAATGGATCGATTTATTAGATTTTCTTATGTTTCAACAGCAAAAACAAAACCTCACAATTTGAATCAAACACAATAAAAATAACAATGCTGGCTGTATTCACAAATATGCATTTTAATTTGAAATCAGACACACAGTTTTTTTTAATACCGGCACCATCTTAAACACAAGCAAATTAAATCTCACAAAATATTTGTCACACCATTTGTGTGCTTTGTAAAGTGTCAAAAACCGCATGCGTTCCAAATTATAGACACCATTGCATACAACTTGAATAAATCTACTTTTTGTCAATGTTTGTCGATGAACGAATGACGATTCTCACGATTTTCAAAACAAAACAGTGATGTTTATTATATTTGCGAGAATCGATTTCGGTGTTGCAACACAATGCTCTCTGTTTATGACTTATTGCCCGCTGTTCCAAATTCATTTACATTGTTCACTGTTAAAACGGCGCGAAATGATAGATAACAAACGATAAAGACACAAAAAAGCATTTATAGAAAATGAACTTTGATGATAAAATGCTTTAAATTTCTTATTGAAAGATATATGTTGAGCGGAAAGCATTAGATCATTAAAAAAAAAACAAAAAAACACAATTTAATTGACATTCATTTGATTTTTATTTGAATTAATGTTTGAATATTTCAGCTGAAATCAATTGGTATTACATAGTCTAGAATATAAATTCTATATACTTCGTACTAAATTGTTATAAATGTTCATTTTATATTTTTCTCATTCTCTCGATTAAATGGTGTGCGTTATCAATTGCCTGTTTTGTTTACAATCTTGACTTTTCAAGTCGCAATACTTGCATATTAAAAAAACCGTTCATAAAAGCTTCTTTTTACATCTTTTTGGGGTATGAGTGAACGATTGAATTAACGATAACTAAATAGCAACGAGGAAGAAGAGAAAAAAAAGAAACAGGAAAAAAACCATCAATATTCAAGATATCAATTTATGCTCATTTCATTTGCTTTTTTTTCGCACATTTTTTTTGCCTTTGCTGAAACACTAGGATCGTCGGGAGTGAATACACACAACGGATCGAGTCGAATGACGTCTAATTCACTCAGTCACCAAAGCACCAATAACTCAACATCACGTCAACAACAATCGAACACCAACTCGGCTAATATCGATTCAACTCACTCCAATACTGATGCTATTGTTCCGGCATACCAAATACAACTAACAGATTTGCCGTTGGAGATTTTTGAGCGAATCTTCCAATACACCGGCTACAAGGAAGTGTCGAACATGCGATTGGTAAGGAAAATATAAGCGAAATAAAAAAAGTACAAAATTAGATCACTTTGCATACACGCACGTTATCGCTAACATTCAATTTATATTGAATCAAAATGTTCGAATGTATTTCAATGTGCATTCTTTTTTTTATCAGTCGTTTGTATGGTTTTTTTTTCTATTTATTCTTTATGCAGGTTTCAACTCATACAAATCAAATTTGTAAGACAATTTTAAATTCAACATTCACAAAACTGCAAACACAATTGATAAGACGTTTTGAAAATATAAAAAAAATCATGCCCAGAAGGTAAGTGGCAGAGATTTCAACATAAATCAATGTACGATGTACACTGTACATTGTACAATATAACGATAAATAGAATTGTGTTCTGATTTGATCACAAAAGGCAATGTACGGCTTTTGTGGCTGCAAACTAACGGAGCGATTCAAATTGTGAAATGATTCTATTGTTTAATTTTCATTTAATTATGTTGATGTGAAGTCGAAAATGACGATTTGTTGTATACCATACTCGCATGAAAGAAAAAGAAATAAATAAATAAAAGAACTAAAAATAATAACACATTGTTTTGTCTATCCAAAACACTATAGAGAATCAGCTCGGCGAGCGCATCCATTGTACTACGAATGTGATATCATTGAGACATGCTGTATGCGTTTATCATTGTTGCAAATGACATTTGGTCGGTACATTGAGCACAAACATATATGCTTCTTTCCGGGCGCAGTACGTACTTTATTTTTCTATCTCTCTCTCTCTTTCTATCTTCTTTCTATTTCATATGTAAAATCTGTGTCTTTGTTTCGCTATAAATTTCTGTGTATTTTTTTTATTTTATAAAAAATAATTTAATTTTTTAATTGTTTTTTTTTTTGTGTCATCAAAACCAATTCATTTACAGTTTCTTGATGAAGTTTACAACGTATTGAATGATATCCGAACCACACCAAATTTAGGTCGTCCATTTAAAGTAACCGAAGAGTTGATAGATCTATCAACGATGGCTATGGAATATTTTAAAGATCATTTGGAGCCATCAATGCCACAATTTTTTGGCAAAAGTTCGACTGCAACACGTAAGATTATCACTTTTCATGTATAATTATATATAACCATTGAGCTACATTACAATTACAATTATTATTCAATAAAGAATTAGCTAAGTGCAATTAAAAATTAATTATGAGCAATTTAGCATTAGCTTTTATTATTGACAGCAGTTTAATAGAAAGGCTCGATTTAAAATGACTTTATTTATGATGGCGATGAATGATTGAATGATTCATTTGAACAGGTGCAGCATCAAAAAATTGTTTTGTATTTGACACATCATCAACATCATCAGCAAATTCAGTGTCCATATCAACAAGATCGAGCCAATCTAGTTCGATGCCATCACCACCCCAAAGTAATATGGTTTTGCGCAAAGGCATACGAAAAATTAAACAAGGAATGAAAAAGTAAGTAATTCCTTCTAAACGTATGAACCATTTTTAAAATAAGAATGCCGGAAAGTAAATTCAATTTTTCAGTAACAATCATTTATTTTCAAATAAAATGAAATAAAAATTTATCTGTTTTTTTCTTCTTCGTTAGATACAATAATCAATTGTCTGTTCTGCGCACCGATTTACGTTTCTGCAAGCGAAAATCAACGGATCAAGCAAAGCAAATCACCGAATTACAAAATATGTTGGCCGAACAGCAAAAGCAAACGCTCGAATACTTAAATCGGTTGGATGAAAATGATAAAAAAAGTGAAGAAATGTCATCAAAAATCTCGACATTGTTACAAGAATTGAATAAGTGTAAAAATGAATTGCATTATTATCGGTCAAAAAGTCCAGCCACCCCGATCTGCAATAATTGTGGTCAAACCACTAATTTAACCATACCACCGGGAAATTTGTTAGCATTAATGAAAAATAGTAATATCAATAGTAGCCGTGATGAGATAATCAATGTCATAGGTAAATGTAGTAATTTTGAATCGGAATCGAAAGTACAAAGCCATGAGTCAAGCATCTCAGAAGATCTCACAGTTGGAGCAGCAGCGACAGCAGCAACAATGCCCAAAACAAATACAATCAATTCAATGATGTTAATGCACTCTGATGACAATAAGTATGCAACGATTGCATTGGACGATTCAAAAACCATATCGTCCATGGGTTTATCGATACCAGCCGAAACAACATCGGAACCGATAAGTCCAACGATTAATCCAATGTCATCATCGTCAAGTGCTGGTGTAACAAATATCACAACGCCAATCAATTGCAATGGTTATATCGATAGTCTCGAAAAGCGATTGAAATTGGCACGGCACAAGGCCAATCAAAATATGAACGAATGGCGATGTTCGTCTTATGATAAAACGAATTTTATCGAAAATAGTTTAGCATGTGATTCGACACAGACGACAATAACAACATCATCATCGTTGATTGCACAATCATTGCCCACAGCACCAGCCTCAGGAGCACCATCAATTGAACAACAACAACAACAACCAACTAAACAAAAACCAATCAACGGCAGCAACAACAGCGTAACCGTGTTACGATTTTATGGCAAACGTAAATTGGATGATAGCACAACACTTCAATCAACCAATGATGCGATACTGAATATGCCCGGCAGCGGCGGCGATGGAATGGACAATCCAATGGCAATTTGCAAATCCAATGCTATGGCCACCAATAATCTTGCCAATTCTAATTTAAGTGATAACTATAATAAGAAAGCACGAAGAGTACAAAATAAAACACGCAATAAGTAAACAAAAAAAAATATAAAATAAAATTTAAATACGGATTTGTGACTGCGCGTACACAATACTTACACAATTTATTCACAATAAATGAAGAATTGAAGAAAAACAAAGAGATCAAGAGTTTTCGAAAAAGATGAAAATTTATATATGAAAAAGAAAAAAAATGATATGCTAATGAGAATGTGAACAAAAACAAACGATATTTAAATGAAGCCATTGTCAACATTGAGCTAAATAACAAATTTTATCATATGATGTGACATCAAGAAAAGAAAATTAGAATTCAACTATTCGTATAGTTCTATCATACAAAGCGACAATTAACAATTATGTCTATTGAACTAAATATTTGAAATATAATTTAATTCATCCCGTTATTATTCTTCTTTTTTTGTTGTTTTAATTTTATTTCAAAGCAAATCAAACCCACACCGCTGAACCTCAATCGTTCGGTGAAACGAGTCAATTCAAACTCAAACTGTACGTGCATAATTCAAATGAAAATCATTTGGGAGAGATATTGTTTCTCGTCAGTAAATATTCGGTTTCGATTGTGTCGTATCACTTCTTGTCAATAATCATTCCACACAATCACCAAATCCCTTTAAATTGTCTTTCACTCTGTCTCTGACCGACAAAAGAAAATAGACAAACATGAACTACTCATAATATTAGAGCATTAGACATTTGTGTAGCGAGATTTTTTCAAGAAATTTAAATATATATTGCAAGAAGATATGAATCTGTTAAGCATTTTTCAAACTATCTATATTCGTACTTTTGTAGTGATCATTTTTTTGCCTGTACGTTTTGGCTTTTGCTGTTTAGAGATGAAAAATAAAACAAAGCAAGTAATTAAACAACAAATAAACAATATAACAATATATTTTGAGCTGTGCACATTCAAGTAATCATGTTTCGAATCCCAAATGATAATTTTGCACTCTTAATCATTTATCTTTATCTCTTTCTCTCTTTGAATCCTTATATTTTGCCATTACTTTTTTTATTTGGTTGTTCGTCTGTTTTTTTGAAAATTTTAAAAATACACATACACACTCACATACTAGCGGAAGAAGAAAATGATGATGAAATGAAATATAACTAACAAAACACATAGGTTTCTAAAGAATTTTATATTTATTTCTCATTTCATTTTATCTCGTGGTTTTAGAGAAATGACACCAATATCCGTAGGCCTTTCACACCAAATTGCGGTTTTTATTTATCAAAATTACAAAGTCACTGTATTTTTATAGAAAACTAAGAAACAATTGTTAACGTTAATACATCCATTGCCAGGAATGTTCACGGTAGCATTTGGGGGCAGCATTTGATTGTAATTTTAATCATTTTTATGGTTGTCATAGCGTAAAATTTTGGCGTGGTAACAGTAAGAATATATGAACAAAAAAAAAGAAATGACCACTATTTGCATCCATTCGAGATGGAAACTATTTTTAAAAACCTCTACTCACCTATGGGTACAATAAACGTAGTCGCGGTCGTCATCTGCAGCATTGCCATGATTTTGTCTCGGTAGTTGCGGATTATTCGTTCCAAACCATATAAAACCAATGTATGTACATAATACGCTTGGATGCGACTATATCTCGATACTAAACACTTTTCAGTTGATGTAGAACTCTTCAATGGGACTCTGATATGAATTTTCCCATCATCAACCATTTGTTGGTGTCTAGGTTGGTGCCATCGATTGCATTTCCTCGTGATAACTACTTTTCCCAACTGCCAATTTGAATTGATTGGAATTTCATTTTGGGTGAATTTTCATTTCTGGCCTCATCACCTTCACACTGATATGTTCAATGTAGCAATGCTACATCAGCACATATAATTTTAACGTCTCTTGGACGATGGATAGGAATAACAATAAGTTTCAACTTTGTGTTTCTCGATTCCATATTTCGCCCGAACCGCTAATTGTGATATTTTCCTGACATTTACAAACGAAAAATGATATAAACAAACATACTTCGTTATCGGTTTCATTGTGCTTACATACCATACATATAAATATATATATACGAATACCCGTCTCAATTTCTAGCATAAATGTAATAATTTTCGTACAACTTTTTGATTCTATCGTTACCGATGATTCCTCTGAATTCAGTTCTGGTGCAAAAATACACAATGATATCGTCAGACTATCGTCGTTACAAGAGAAAACACAAATACCATCATTCCCGAGATTCAAAATCTTTGGCATGTCGAATGCAAATTGTTGAATTGATATTGTATATAGTAATGTTCCATCTTCAACGCTTCCATTTTCTTTTGCTGATAAAATTGGTGAGTGTCGATTCGTAAATCTATGCACCAGTGCAAAATGATAGCGTTGTTGTTTGGATGTCGTCGGTCATCTGCATCAAAGCCTCCATTCATTTCTCAGCTCATATTAGTCGTGGTGATCTTAGGTTTAACGCTGGGTATTGATGAATATTATGATTGATTGAAATCATTGATGATACATGATCGTTTCTTGGCGTGCTGTCATTGCTCATCACCACGAAAATGTTTAACCAAATAAATTCGAATCAAATGTGAAACTAATATCACCGAAAAATTCAATATTGATAAAGTAAAAACAATCGAATGCAATTGCCTGAATAGTGTTGGTCGTTCATAGAAACGTGTCACAATAATATCACCGTTTCTTCATTTTTCACAAATAATAGCGGCTATTAATTCGATTCTAAACAATCAAAATAATCGTTCGTTTCGTTGCGATTATGTAAACAGATATTGTATATTTCAAACGGTTCGATGCGATATGATAACGAGTGACAGCGGGCAAACTATGAATTGGTATTGGAACATTTATTATAGAAAAAAAAAATAATTAAAAGTCACTATATTTTTATATTAAATTTATACGATGCGAAAAGAAGATGTGAAAAAAAAAACAATGTCGCATCAGGTGACCACTTGAATGCGTTTCAAAAATTAGCAAGAAATAAAACAAAAATGAAGAGAGTATAACGAGAAGCATTTACGATACTGACTCGACGTTTCGACCACCAACCACCACCACCACCACATTCACAATCACCACCAACAATAATAGCACATTTTAGAGAAGATCGAAGAAGCGAGAGACGAGAAACGAAATCAAGAATCAAATAATAAACAACAACAAAATCTAAAATATATCTGAGATAGAGTGAATGCATATTTTCATAATTATATTTAGATGAAAACAAAATAATTAAAACGTACTAAAAAAAAACACACATATTAATGATAATCAGTGAGATTTTTCTCTTTCTCTTATTCGCTGTAACTAGATAGATGTTTGTATGCAGGCACATTTCTTCAAACAATTTTTTTCCCCCGAAGTCACCACCTCTCTCACAAAATTCACATCATCATCGTTCCTTGCCTTCATTCTCAACTTTTCTCTGCCAAAACGAAACGTTAGAAGGGAAGAAAAGAACACAAAAAATATGTGACCGAAACTGAATTTTTTTTTTTAAACTGAAAAAATGTGTGTGTGGTTTTTTATTCAACATATAAAAAATCTAACTTTTTTGGCAATCGCAATGGCAATCGTAGCATAATTGTTACAATTTTGGTTTCCTTTTCATTTGATTTTGAATAGAATTAAGTTCAAATTGATCTTAAACGTGAGATTAACAAGAATAATAAAAATGAATGTACATTGTGAATTACACATTTAACTCATCAGGAAAAAAAAATATTAATCCAGAATCTAATCCTTTCGAGCGATGGTTTATTATAGGCAATCATTTAAAATAAAAGAAATCATATAAACTGATTTTTCTTCGATTTCTTTTTCAACTCGCCCATATCGTGAGTAACAAATTGTTGAATGAAAAGCCAATTCAGTCATTTTGACAGTAGCCAAAAAGAGAATACTGATAAAATACATCGCATTTTTCGTACGATCCTCCTCCTCCTCCTAATTTCACACACACACACCTGATGAGTCTCCGAAAGTATAGCTTTATTTTACAAAATGCAAACATTTTGCTATCGAGCAGCTGTTGTGAAAATATGAGAAATTTTTTTCAGGGAATATTTATTAGATGACATCCAATTAAAACAACAAAATCATATTGATAATTTATGATGAAGCAACAAGAATTAAAAAAAAAATCATGAACTCATTCACACCTAATCAAAAAGTAAAAAATAAAATACGAAATTTAAGCTATAACAGTGAGTAAATCTTCAGCATCAATAATCGATGGGAAAAAAATTAATTAAAAATAACGATCGAATTTTAAACAAAAGTCAAATTCTTAACACGGTACAGACAGTTTGCAAAAACTTGATAATGAATAATAACAAAATAACAGAGAAACGAACGAATGTAATAAAAAATCAATTGATCATTTTAAACAAATATTTTTAAATAGAGTGAGAGATCGAAGTAGTAGTAGTAGAATTCATTTAAAATACACGTTTTACTGATTAAAAAAAAAAACCAACAACAATATACAATTATCAATTTGTGCTATTCCTCGTTGTCCGATTTTAATTCAGCAATTTTAAAGATCAATCAAATTCAAACACAAATTTATGTATATTCATTTTTCATGCACACAACAAACATTTAAACGAACAAGATACATATTAAATAATTCGATGTGTCACACACACACAGCTTTCTATTTATGTATTGTTTCAATCGAGATTTAGAGAAGAAGAACAATCTTTTAATAATTTAAAAAGAAAAATGATTGAAGAAATGGGGGAAAAAAGGTGAATCGTTTTAATTTGAGAAACATATAATAAAAGAAAATATCTAAAATGCACAATACAATATTTATTAACTTAGATTGTATTTCAAAATTGATTTGCATTATTTTTCTCTCTTCAATTTGATTTTAAATAAAAGAAAATGAAGCAACACAAAAATGAGAATATTTAGAAACAGCATTTATTACACTATGTGACACATTAATACTTTTATGAATAATTAAACCGAGCCAAACAATTTTTTCCCTCTTTTTCTGTCAATTTGCCTCTCTCATTTAAAATGATTGCCGTGCTAAATATTGCAATATCAACTAAGCGATGGAATAAGAACTGACACGATTTATAATTTGATATTTTCTTGCGAATGTTTAAAAAAAAATAGTTGGAGTCGTCAAAATGAAAACGATATAAACGAATGCCTTAAGACCTTAATAGAGTAAGGAAAATTACATTGATTTCTATGTTCTCTCGATAATTTTCTTCATAATATGTTTACTTAATTTCGACGTGTGTCAATTTGATCAATAATTGAAATGTGTTACAGTCAATATCACAACAACACAATACAACATGCTTTGTTTGCATAATGTTTGTCTTTTTGTTTTGAATATGTGTAAAAGAAAACAAGAGTTGTATGCAAATCGGCGTCATTCATTTTCGAATTGAAAGAAGAAGAGGAATATGATGATGAAAAAAATGAATGGCCTGGTGCATCCGTAGTATTCATCTAGAGCAGAAACAATAAATGACAAATTCTAACTTATTCAAATGGATGAACAGCACACCTATAGCGTGCATGTCCATTGTAGTGATTGGCAAAAAAAAAGAGTTTAAAAAAGAAAGAGATAAAAACAAAAAAAAAAAAGAATGCCCAAAACAAACAAAAAAAAAGAAAAGTAACGAAAATAAATAACATTTTTTTCTTGAATCAAATCCCGAGTCTTTTTCTTTGCTGTGTTGTCCATGTGTTGTTTATATTTCAGTCAAAAACTGGACGATTATATGAGTGCTTCAACTGAACAATCAGCGGGTGAACCGAGAAATTCTCTTAACAATTCGTTTACGGCGTGCGATTGATGTTGCTGCAGAAAATGATTGGCATCTTTCACGATTTCGACACGAATTTTCGGATACCTTTTGGCTGTTAACGCAATTGCATCCATTGAAATATATCGTTCATATTCACCCAATACGAACATTCCATCTGTACCGTCTAATTCATCCGATTTTTGTACTTTTGACGCGCCACCAAAGTTTGCACGATAGTAATTTATGCCAGCCGATAATGTGCCTAGAAATACATCATAATAAAATCTTGTTTAATAAAATTATTTAATTTAAATTCGAGAAATCAAAATTAATATTTTGTGATGTCAGGTGTCTGCTGGTTTCTATGCGGAAAATGCGTAAGTATGTGCTTTGTTTTTGTACACACAATTACTTACCCGGTTTGGAGAAGGTGTATTTGTAAGCCTCCAAATCATCGGCATTGAAAAATTCATTAAATACAGCCGCAAATCCAGCAAAGTCATCGGATGACAACATTAGCTCGGGCAAAATTGGCATTTGAAAGAGTAATATGTACCTATATAAGAGCAGTCAAAACATTATTCGAGCGCGTTAAGGTATGCCATTTGATTTAACATACCATGATTTTTTAAATTGATCCAACGATGAATTGAACAATTTCTTGAAAACTTGAGAAGACGGGGCACCCATCATCACGTACTTGTATATCATTTGCTTGTTTTGACTTGAAGAAATGCAGAAAATCATAATTTATCTACTTCGAGTGGTCGAGAATAAAAGGGGGAAACAATGTCTTTATTAACTTCTTGATTGGCAGATAATTGAGCAGTGTCTTTCAACGTTTTGATGGGGTCTTCAACGTTTTTGACAACACTTGTCAGCTATCTCTTATCAGAAATAAGTCTTAAAACTTGGTTTCGTCCAATCTCACTTTTATTCTCAGCACAACATAAGACAAAAAAAATGTGTTTAAAAAGTCTTACGCAACAAACTCCCAGCCAACTAACGCGCCCCAGTCATGAGCAACTAAAATGAACTTCTTTCGATCTGAAACAATGGAAATTATTCATTAAAAATTATAAAACATTTTCGTATTATTACAATACACCATATCGAGCTTAATGACTTCCGGTTTTTATTTCTAATAAATGACGATGATTTGCTTTAATTTTGGTTTCACTTGGAAAATTTCCAATATTGGATCCATGAATTGACACAATTAAATGTCAGATCAATTTTTAGTAACTGATTAGTGTTTGGGAGATTCCCTAGATCAATTTTTTTTCATTCATTATTATATTTGTGTTACGCTCTAATACGCATTTATTTAATCATAAATTTTAAAATAAATTCTAAATGAAATTCGATTGGTCTAAAATAAATTTGTTCATACAATTCGTGAATAATTGCTTACGCATTTAGGGAAGAAAATAAACTATAATTTCTGGTGGAAAAGTAATTTGATTATATTTGTGATTCAACTGGCCTCCCGAGTGGAAAAAAAGTGACTAAGTTACTATTGACTGTAAGTGACAATAGTTAGCTATATTCATGAATTTTAAAATTTTGTATGGAAAACAATCGACTATAGTTACTCAGTCAGTCAGGCGATTATTTTGGGACGTTTCGACTATCGGGTGACTATGATTATTGTCAACTATAGTTAGCTGTTGCAGTTAACCATAGCTTACTTTAATTGATTGAAGTTAACTAAATTTAACTAAGGTTGCTTGTTTCTACAGTCAATAGTCAGTCAGTTTGTCCCAAAATAGTCAGTCACTTTTTTTGTACACGGGCTAGATCAATGTTGATGATTGTTAGAAAATACAAAGTTTATGGCCGGAACTTTGTTGAATTCATATGATCAATGTTCGTTCTTTAAATAGCTTTTTGCGAAGTTAAATATCATCACAATTTGCGTGATTTTCAATAAAATGAACTTACTCAGATATTCGATTAATGCACGTAAATCATCAACCATGTATTGGATTTCGTAATTTTGCTGATCACTCGGCCGTTCGGAGAGATTGTAGCCTCGCATATCAATTGCTACAACCCTAAAACGATCGAATAAATAAAGTAAATAATAACGATTTTTATTGCCATATCAGATATTTTATTGAATAGAAAATAAAAACAAAAAAACAAACCAATAATCCTTGGAGAATTCAACAATTTGATGTCGCCAACAGTACCTGATCAAATGGATAAACATTTTTAAATTCATTACTAATCACACACGCAATTCCTACACTGCAATCGCATACCAAAATTCTGGAAAACCATGTACAAAAACCATCAACGGCTTGGTTCGATCTCCGCTTTCAACGTAGTGTAAACGAATTCCCTGTACGTGTAATTTAGGCAAACAGTAATAAAAAAAATCAAATTTTTTACGAAGCTAATCGTAAATGTAAATTACAAATGATTTGAATTAAAATGACTTACATTAACTGTGGCAAATTTATGAACGCCATATTTGGGATCAGTCAAAGCGGCCGGTGCATTGGGACGATCTTTTGGTTTCCATGGTTGCGATGAAAACTTTGTAATATATAACACACATAGCCTAAGGACGATCACAATACTGTAGACACTACAAAATGTCCAAAGTATTACACTACGAATGAGTTCAAACATTTTGCCTTAAAAAAACAATCTATTCCACTCAATTTAGTTGATTTTCAATCAAAATGTGCGTATTTGACAAAAGTATATTGTACGGTACGCACACAAAATGTTTCTTTTTCAAAACGAATTGAGAAGAATCGAAAATATTCCAGTTATTTGACAGAGAGATGACTTTGTGTGCTGTTAAATGTACAAATGCCAATTACATACTATCTACGTCTACTAAATTGAAGCGAGTTGATTTCATATATATATGTATGCTTACAAGAGTCGGTTTCTGTTATACAAGTATACGATGTGCCGTGCGTACATACGTACCAAGTACACCTAATACGTACTGTTGCTGGTGTTTGTTGTATGCTGCTCTTTGTTGCGAATCGAAGCAAAATCATGCACTTAAATGATGTGGTTAGAATAAAATCCCGACTCAAAATAAATATGCGGCCATCGTATCTGAACTGCAATGCTGTATAGGCGCTACAAATATCTAGGGCTACTCAGACAGCAAAAAACCATCACTGATTTTTTTTTCAAGGCAATTGTACATTTATGAAAGACGATGCGTTCCAATTTTTTGATTTTTATTTCAAGTTGGGTATTTATTCTAGCTCATTCAAATATTCTGTCTATGTTCATATATTCTTATCAATATTTTGATAAATTCACAATTTCGATTTGAAATCATGATAAGCGAGACAAATAAAAATAAAATAAAATTTGATTGGGACACATCGCACAACACATCGCATACGTTTTATATTTTATTTTCACAGAATGAATGTGTAAAATGCACGCTTGACTTGGTAAATGTTTTTCAATTTGAATTTCAATTGAAAAAATTGTTTACTTACATTAAAAAAAAAAACAATAAAGATAAAGGTAAAAGAATAAAAACTGTCTGGAAATGTTAGATATGGAGTAAATTTTTTTTTCTCGTAAAAGAATAAATTCTCCTTTTTTCTCATCAAATATTCAACAACAGAAACTATGATAGAAAGTTATGAAGAATCTGGATTTCTTCAATGGAAACTTCAATACACGCTCAATTTGATCTGTATTGATGTAAGCTTGTCCACGCTTTGAATTCAAGTGGTCAGTTTAGATGCTGTGTTTGATCTCATTATTTATGTGTCCAAAAGGATATAATATATCATGAATGGAATTCACAATGGGTTATCTAATCAAATATGGAATGAAAAAAGCAAAAAGGTAAGTGATCGATTCCATGTACTTTCAATGAAATGGCAGGCTGATCAATTTGTTTGAATAAAAGTGCAAACGCTCCAATAAAAATCATTCGTTCATAAAATGATTGGGTCGAAGGAAGTAAGCGAACCAAGTAAAAATAATAATAATGAAGTTTACGATTTATTGTGAAACTTTTGTTCCACCATTTTAATTGTGTTTCGTTTCAGATGTCGAGGACATGACTTATTTACAGAAATGTGATACAAAATTTATGTTCATAAGTGTGATTTTGGTTTTGATTTTTACAATGAATGGAGTTTTATTTGGTTTATACTTAACTCTGACAACACAGAGCCACCAAGCAATCCGTTAACTGTAATTTCTCGATCTGATTGGATAGCTGCACCGCCTAGACGTGAGTTGACACCACTTGATTTGTCCGTAACACATATTATAATCACACAAACGGCCACTGAAAACTGTACGACACAGGTATTTATACCATAGAATGAACTTTTCCTCATAATTTCCAAACGAATATTTTCTGTTTTGCAGACATCATGCATCGATCGTGTTAAATCGACTTCAAAAATTGGACATGGAGTTACGACAATGGGATGACATTGGATACAATTTCCTAATTGGTGGAGATGGTTCCGTTTATGTGGGCCGTGGATGGGATGTTTTAGACGAAGACACAAAAAGTGATGGTTTAAATGGCATTCGCATTGCATTCATTGGAAACTTTGATAAAATCAGGCCGTCAAAATCACAACTATATGCAGCACAGAAATTTATCGAAGTAGGAGTAAAATTGAAAGAATTTACACTCGATTATAGTCTTTACGGTCGTCATCAACTAATACCTTAAGTTTAAGTCAAGTGTTACATGATATATAAATTACTTACCAAAAATATAGTAGATGACCAAGTAAATGTTTTTTTTTTCTCGATAAATAAAGCTAGTAGTGAACACCGCTTGTAAACTGGTATCATTTTGACTGATTTATGTAATCCTGTTCATTTTACATATGTAGAAAAAAAAGTTTGAGTAATTTTGAAGGTTTGAGATATTCAAATCTTCGTTCAATTATGCTCAATGGAATGAATCATACTTGTGGTTAAAACATCGACTATACTCCGCATAGCATATCCAATGCAATTGGATGGTTGTATAGTGTCGCCATCATTCGTACATTAAAGCAATTATTAGTTAAATCACACAAATTTAAACGAAAACAGAAACAACATCATTCACGCGAAAATTGCTCGTTTGCGAAACACTTTCTTTCTTCTCTGAATCTTTGTTTCAAAACTTTGTTCAGCTTGTTTGTAACAATTTCACAGCAAGATGATGTCAACATATAACCATCAACGACCGTTGCCCTTATGTGTCTTTCTCGCTGTTTATGGTAAATGGTTGTGGCCAATGATTATATCTATAAAATTGAGGACAAGCGTTTTCATACGAATTCTGTATGACGCTGACGACTGAAATCGCTTTGATACTTTCGTTAGCGTGTTGATGACGATGTTGATAGTGCATTGATGCCAGATATCATCATCCTCTCCCTCCTTCTGTGCAATTTTTTTCTTGTGCTTTTTTCTTTCTCTATCTATCTCTACTTCACATCGTTCTTGGTTTTCTAAAGAGTGTAAATCAGAGACAGAGATAGAGTGAAAGAGATAGCGTGAGAGAGCGAGTGTGTGTGTGTTCGTGTAAAAAACTCGAGCATTTTCTTCATAAGAGATTCGCAACACGTCTCCTCTATAAAACGTGTGTAGAATGATTGAAACAAACTATAAACACGTAGAGCTAAAAAAAGCCACATTCTACCATTTATCGCAACGTATACCCCAAGAATGAAGTGTGTATTATTTGGAACAACTTTTATTTTCTCTTTGTATTGTAAGTCGTCATTGGAAATTGTTGGTTAATATGTCACTTAATGTGTCACGATAAAAAAAACAACACGAACAAGAATATATGAAAGACACACCACCGCATCACCAATATTTAAGGTGTACATAATAATGGATACAAATCGAATTGTCGATTTGATGTTCACTTTGTATTTTTAAATCGGGTAAAATTTGCAGTATGTGATTGTTGCACACAAGCATACCAACACCATTGTATACAAGCCCACGTTGATGATATCATGCAACATGGAAATATGAGGCTCATTTTCACGTTGTTTACCATTACAACATTCCCTCTCTCGATTTTATTTTTCTTTTCAACAAAGTCATTGTTCGAAGCTCTCTTGATACTCGAAATGAGGTGTGATGTGTATGTGCATGTTTTTTCTGGATATGATTCAACACAAACAGTTAATGAGAGAGCAACAGAGAGAGAGAGAGAGAGAGAGAGAAATTACGTACATGAAACGACCCATTGAACTTGACTGAACAAAATCATTGAATCGTTCATTTTCTGTAATTTGGTTCGCTTGATTTTCTCTCCACATCTGTCCGTGCAATAAAAAAACACGTCAATTTTAAAGCATGATTGCAACCATAAAATTATTTTATGTGCTCGTTTCTGTCGGCAAATTCTCATGTTAATTGCACTAGTACCCTTGCCTCTCTACTTTCTTACTCTATCTATCAATCAATCACTGTCTATATCTCTCTTTTTCTCACCTACACGACTTTCTGACTCAATGACAAAACTTTCACAGTCGAAACCGGGCAGTGATGTTGTTTTTTTTCCTCGTATTTTGACATAAATTGCAATGGGTTAATTTCTTAGTGCAGAACATAGCAAACAAAACTGGTTTTGCCTTGAAGCGAACATTTTTGAGAGAGATTAATTAGAACAATTTAAATTCATAACCATTAGATTCTATGGTACCGCACGCATTACAATAACTTTGACTAATAATCAAAGTGCGCTTCATAAAACAGCTTGACTTCAAATTTTCAATGCCAATGCAGTTGATGCGGACACTTGTGTTCAACAGCAACCACATCAAGTGCACATTACGCTACCGAACAAACATTTTAACTGTCAGAAAAGAAATTTTTATTCGACAGACCGAGACTGGAGAAGAGAAAAAAGCGGGAGTGAGAAAACGAAAAAAAATGCAACAATAAAAATTATACGGCATAAAAATTGTAATTAAATTGTTAAAATAATCTGATTTTAATATTTGATTTTATGCCGTGAAAGTGAATGTGAATGGTATCTATGTATTTTATTCAGTGTGTATTTGTGTTGCAAATGAAATTTGGTTGAATCAGTATTAACGAAGTGCCAAAAATCCACACAGATTTAACCTGGATTTAACCGTTTTCGTAATTGGGGTTTTGTTGGTTGTGAAACAAAGTGGTATAAACAGAGTGCGTGAGAGATTTTTTTGTTGTTGTAATAATATGGCATTTGTTGATTAATGTGGAATATTAAAAAAGAGAAATGACGTTACAATGGATAATAAAAGGAAAAACAACACATTAGATTTGTTTTTCGGCTACTTACAAAATGTTGATTTTTAACCTTTGTGCACATAATCCTTCTCTACGTATCCTTGTCTTTGGCATAAATGAATGGTGGCTGAATAAAAGATGTGTTGATTGAATTATGTTAGTCGCCGTTGGCATAATCATCGCCTCTTTCCTAGTTCGCATTCATTTTGGGTTCACTCGGTTCAATTTTTGATCAAAAACTCTTTTGAACCAGCACAAAAAAAAACACACACACACAAACACAACAACTCTATGATTTGGTCTAATCTATATCGCTAATTTGGCATTTCTCTTTACAAAAATTGCGCGCATCATCGCTATCGCAGCCGACAACAACTAAAAAAATTCCGTGCCACATACTAAAATTGAATACCGTACTGTCGACGAGTGTGAATATTTTATGTTCCGATGAAAACGAAAATGAATAATTTAGAAATGAAGCATTGCAGAGACGACAAGGAAAAAAAGGCCTTAAATTGAATAACTTTGACATTTTCTTGATGATGTATATATTATTTCAACGTCATTTCTCTTGGCTGTAGAAAAATATAT